TAGGCCATGTGGAAGATAACAGGCAATTTTGGATTTTTTTCATTGCAATGCTTGTATTTATGTGCAAATGCCTATACGAATGTTTGCCTGATAAAATGTAACAGAATACAAGGAATTTCAAAAAAGGACTACAGTGGTTTCTCCAAAACCTCAAAGTTCATGCTGAGACTAGTTACTTTTAGAAGAGGGAAGAGGAAGAAGAGGAAGAGGAAGAGGAGGAGGAGAAGAAGAAGGAAGAGAAGGAGAAAAAGAAAGAAAGCACATCTTGCTAAGACTATTCTAAAACAAGTTCTTTAACATATTGTGATTTTAATCAATTTTCTATAGACTGATGACTTTATAGCTTTATTTCCAGAATGTAATTAGCATAAGTAGCCCAAGTTCCTGTGTGTCACACAAGGAAGTAAACAACCTGATGAAGTACTATGAGAGAGTACTATAATGAGTGCTATGAGACACGTAACTTTAAGATATAACACAGCCAAAGCAAAAGCCAAAGGTGGTCACAAGGCCCTCACCACACACTGAGGAGTTCCCTGAGGAGAAGAGCATGCAGTTTAGCATCCTTTCTACTTGCTCTCCTTAATGAAAATTTCAACCAAAGGAGAAAACCAAACTTAATCATGGCCAGATTAAACAGAGGTTTAAAAATTATCAGAGACAGGACGGAGCAGCTACCGACCAGTTGGTGCTGCCATTTGGGAGGTTGCAGATGGCTGTGGGTGGGAAATGCCTTTACTTTCTTAAGCGATGGAGATGAGTATGGTGTGTGTGTGCTTGATGTTTTTTTCATACCCCTACCCCCCAACAGGGCTGTCTGTCATAGGCTGCCGGCCAGCTTTACCACTTGCCCCCGAGCGTGGGAATCGGAGCGTCCTGCCGTTCACATCTCCTGCTTTCCGTTTAGCGGAATCAATTAGGCAAGACAGACCCTCGGATTCCCCACCCCCTTTCCATTTTTGTCAGGTCTATATACGTCCTAATTATTTCAGTTTGGGATGCCAGAGCTGTTTCCTGGATAGACCTGATCATCCTTAAACAAAAAGAGAGGAGGCGCACACGTGGGCTGTGGCGTAAATGTCACTTTCATTTCCAATGCTAGGCGCAGAGTAAGACAGAACAGTTTTTTTAACAGTTTGACAAGAGGGGAGGCGATCTCGTCTCCATCATGTCTTTCTGCTTCAGTAGCTTCCTCAAGGAAACCCTCTTGGAACAGAGAAGCATCTGTCCTTGTATTTTGAATAGAAGAATAAAAATCAGCCTTTGCCCCCATCCCTTTTCCCTGCTAGCTCTAAGTCCTCGGTAGATATAAATTACCAACCTTACAGTATAAGCGTTACTGAAAGTCTAACTTCACAGATTTGATGTACACACCCAAATACATAGAAAGTTTCCAGGCACAAGCTTCAAACTTGGGGGAGGGGCCTCAGATGGGAACTGCCCAAATCTACATAATTATGAAATCATATTTTTAAAAACAAGGTATCAGGCATCGCTATAACAGCTTTCTAAGAAAAAATAATCTCATAGGTAAACGTTTGCTTCAAAATAGAACAATATAGAAATACATGCATCTTCACCCATAAAGTACACTACACAATTCTCCTCTCCAGTTGTACAGCCCCCTCAAAACCTGGCCCCTTTAGATTTCAGTATTGTGTTACTTAGTTTCCCCCTTTCAATCATAAGAAAAAAAAAGTTAGATTCAATAAGCATTCCTGACCTTTCTGGTTTTTACTGTCTCTTGGTTGCAGTCTTTCTTTCCGGAACGCTCCTCGGTGATCTTGAAGGAGTTTTTACTTTCGGTTATCTAGCTTTATGAAGACCAATACACTCATACAGCTAGATAACCAAAGATAACAACTCGCTTCCCTCACAAGGCTGTCTTCCTCTGGCTGGACTCCAGATCCGGATTCTCTTTGGCTTTCGGGAAGCGTAGTCCTCCGGGATACTTGCCGCGTTTAAGATTCTCCTTTCATGTAAACATGACCTGGTTTCTGTCTGAGTGTGTGCGGCTAGAACATCCAAATGAGATCTGTTGCATTCAGAGTTTATTCCAAACTTTTTCCCCTTCCAGTAAGTAATCTCCAGCATCGTTAGCCAACAATTCATCTATTAGTATCATAAAATAAGACCAGCGATTAAGGTGCAGCAAGCTGTTCGGGGTGAGCAGCAGCGTCCGTCTCTTCACAGGCCTCTATTTGCATTGTAAATTGCTTCATTCTCACGTAAGATTCTTTAGCCTTCCTCTACTGAGACGTATAAAGCCATCGGCAGTTTCCAACGCTGGTTAAAGAGGAAGAAGGGGGAAATCCCATTCTATAGAAGTGACAGCTGATTCAAAGATCTGCTCCGGATCATCGGGTTAGGCTATGAGCTTTTTACCAAGTGCTGGCAGCTTGATGCACATATCTTGTATGTGAATGTTTTAAGGGAGATCCTCGATTTCTCAGGACTTCTAGGCGGGGAGAAGATGCCGTCTTGCTGGCGTACTGCTGCCCCGGTCTGAAAGAAGGAGAAAAGGGCCATCATTGGAGGGGCTTTCACCGCCAAATTGTGGACCAGCCCGGCAAGGTCAAAGGTTTGAGACCGCGGGAGACCAAGGTAATGATGATGTCATGAGAAATCTCAAGTACATGGTTATTGATATGCATCAGTGGTCAGCCAACTGCCCCACGCCTGCTGCCGGGAGTAGCACAGGCGGCGGCGACGACAGCGGCGGCAGCGGTGGCGACGACGGCAGCAGCAGCTTTGCAACAATCCCTATATTCTCAATCAACATTTCATCCACTAGCACTACCGACTGTTCCTTGAAAAGCAACCCGCGGCCTTTTACCTCCTCGGCGCTAGTGTAGATCGCTCTAATATCCAAAGACTGGAGAAAATCTCTCTCTAAGGACAGATAAAAGCATTTCAGTCTGGGGAACTTCTTTGCCTCCATTTCTCTTCTGGCAGATTGCATAGGCAGGCAGATGGAAGGCACTTTACTATTGCTTAAAGCAGGGCCTCGCTTTCTGGGGCTGGGAATCAGCTCTGTTATTTCTCAGTGAGTCGATGTGTGGTTACATTGACAATTTGCTTTGGTGTTATGTTTTTAATGGCTTCACAGCTCAGTCATGTTTTGTATCTGTGTACCGTGGAGATAGGGCAGCAGATTTTGTTCTGTAAGTTCAAACTGCATGATCTAAGCAGTGAAGCTTCTTTATATGTTTTAATGATTTGCATATATAAGGCGTGTGGGTTTGCATGCAGCACAGGTAAACATTGCAGCAGTAGTTTCAATGTTGTACACAAGTCTGCTGTAGCAAAAATGCTGAGCCTTTGTCTACTGTTTTAAACATCAATTTCACACTGGACAATAATGCACTAGACTTGCTTATAAAATTAGGACAAGAGTATTGTCTCCTGAACATGCAGATCCGACACTTGGATGGGAAGGGAGGGGGGCTACCACACCTCTGTTGCCCCACCCACTCATTCTTCTATCTAGAAGCAGAAGGTCATTTCATTCATTAATTAACTTCATTCATTGCCTTAGAAGCTTTTAAAGTGTGACTTTAAGATCACTTCAAAGAGTCCTTTTTTCTGTTCCTTTAAAATATAATATAATATAGATAATCTGTCTAGGACATCTAACATCTAATATCTGACATTCAAATACCTCATGACAATTCATTCATGGTAATCTACATGAGAAGCATTTTCTCTGTGGGTAAACATTATGGATTATTATTCAAATTACTAATTATTTTTAGCAATGTTGCTTTTCTTTAAGTTGCATGGTAAGCATTATAAATTCTAACTGTGCATTGCCCACATCACCAGTGCTCCACAATGTTCTCGATTCCATAATGTGTGGATTTTCCCCAGTGCCTAAAACACTTTTAGATTTACATTTTTTGGAACATACATTTTTTTCTCAGTAATTCACTAATTTATTCATTTAAGACATGAATAAGAACCTGCTTATTCAATCACACACAGAACCCAAAAGTATAAACCCTACAGAGACTGACAAGGTTTTATAAAAAAATGCTAGAAAAAAATCTCCAATGAAGAGTTTAAACGTAATATCACACCAGGTAAGGCTTATGGCTTAGTAACAGAGCTGGCCGATTTGTCCCTAGACTAATTTGTTTACTTTTATGGTGAGCATTCTTTAACTGGCTACTGAGAAAGGGCTGGGATGTAGAAAGAACTTGTGTATATTTCTTATCAAATTATGAACCAGAAGTCAGAAATAAAATGCACATGGACACTGCAAGCCAATCCTAAAAACATGTTCATGGATTTTTTGTTCCTTCTTAAAACCATATGGTCACAGCATAAACAACTCACTGAAGCGCATGCCACTTCTGACATCATGTAAAAATACTAATGAGCTTTGCAGCTTGGAAGATTAAAAAGCACCATGGCCTTGCTTTCCAAGAACTAACAGCAGAATCATTAATGATTTGGCTTGTATTACACAAAGTAAGCATGTGATCTGATATAGTCAACTGTGAAAGTCAAAGCCCAAGAAATCAAAAATGGTTTCACAATATCTCTTTGCTTCATGTGTAGCTAGGTGCGAGAGAGTAAGTTACATATATATCTCTATGTGTTGGGGGGATGTTATTATCCTCATATTTTCTGAGTATGAAAATTATGATGACTCTATTCCCATACTTAACAACAAAATGTATTTAGAAACAGTAACTACAATGAGTTTACACACTGCATATCTGAAGACTTCTCCCACTAGAATCTATAGAAGATGCTGTAGTAAATACCACAGTCTTAGGGGAACACTAGTCATGCCAACTTACTACAGGACTGGTCTCCATGCTTGGTATTCATCATGGAAACTCCAATGAGTGAAATGAGCCAAGATCAGGATTATGGCTAGCCGTTCATTAGCCATGTAGTCAATTAAACATTCCACTTCCCTATCAACCTCTCAGGTTCACAGAGGAAAATTAAATATACTGAGATTTAACATTGAGTGCCTCCTTATTTATAATATTGGCAAGGTTTATAACATGATTTATCATATGTATTATTATATACACCCCACAGTACCTTACAATTACATATGCCTCAAGGAGTCCTAGCGACGTCATGTGTAAAGAGCATATCTTAGTAACTACACTTTAAACTTAGATTTTTAGCTGAGCTACAGAATATCTACTTGAAAATCAGCATAGTGAAGGATATAGTGAATTCAAGAGACCTGACTGCTTTTTCCTCTAACAAATTCTCACTAGTAAATAGTAGATTAGCATGTGGTTGTCGTGCTTGCTTTTGAATCTTTTATTGGTCTCCAAATTGCTGAAACATGACTTGAAACATCCTGGTTTACTTGGGAATAAAACAGTCTCTCTTGGTTTAAAGTAAAAGTTATGGTTTTCCTCATATCTGGGTCAGAATTATGCTATTAATTAATTCATATACACTTGGTTTATGACCGATATTTAGAATATCTTTGAATCCTATACACATTAATGCAGAATGAATGCATAAAGAACTGACCAAACATCAACTCACTTGAATTATTTGGTTTGTAAGAATTACAAGTGTGCAAATTGTAATCTACAGTCAATACTACTATTGTCTTATTTTTTTAAACAATTTCGTTTACATCAATGTCCATGGTCCAAGTGATGAACTCAACTGGCTTTCATTATAGTAAAAATATCTTACCCTTCTTTCTAAATATGAGCTTCTTTCTTATAGGCTATTGTAGGCTTTATTTATATTATGTTCTATGCACATACATATATGTATACATTACATACATACAAAGGCTCCAACAGAAGAAATAACTGTACAAACTGAAACTTAGATGTATCTGGAATTCTATCTGCTGCAAAAGAAATGTGAGAGACTGATGACCTGACTTCCAGTAAACAATATTCTATTTTTGTTTTGAACATCAGATTTTGTCAAACAAAAAATTTTAAATTACCTTTGTTTGATTGAATAGGCTGTTCATTTTATGCTTCTTTGAAGTCTCATCTGAAAAATAGGCAATAAAACAAATGATCATAATATATATATATCTATATCTATCTATATATATATATCATTAAATAGGGATAGGACTTAATTTAAAGGGTCACAATTCCTGTTGTGTATTTTTTAATGCCAATAGAGTATATAAAACACCAGTACTGTGTATCTAGGGCCTTAGCACCTACAGGGTTAAATATGTTAATTTGCATTTAAATGGAGACATGCATGATAATGGGAATGCAAAATATGCAGGATCTAGAGGGGTTTGGGAAATTAATTTTTCTTTCTCCTTTTATTTTTAGCTTGGAAAGAAGAGAGACTTAAGAAACATTAGGGATTTGAACCTTGTAACCTCCTGTACAAAAGAGAAGAGAGAGCCCCACCATGCAAGGATTTTAAGTCTGGAACAAAGTCTTGTTTTCTAAATGTTTAAGGGACTGAATTTCTTGGCCTTTCAGACAATGAGAATCCCAGGATAAATGTCTAATCCATTAGAAAGATGCAAATAGTTTACTGTAAGGCTACAGCACAGTGAGATGTGCATTCATATCTATGGCTCCTGATTGGCTCTTTCCTTCAGTAAATCAATGAATAATGTAAAACCTGATTGCTGTAAAGTGGTGGATTTTAAAACCCTTCCCCCACACCCCAGGATCCAATATTAGGAAGTCTTACATACTCCCGAAAATAGGTTGAGTTTTTTTAAAAATGATTTTTTGATGCTTACTATTATTTTGGACCGGAGGGGTGGAGCTGTTGTTTTGCAAAATGAAAGTATTGCACCGGTTCAATTATGCAGACTACAGTGGCTTGTTCCTACCAGCGCCCTAGTTACTGGTGTCAAGGTGGAGAGGAAGGGTGGTGGGCAGGTGTGAGCGCCAGGAGAGAAAACGATCTGACTCCATCCTTGTTGGCCCAAGACAGCCACAGCTTTAACCCCTTACCCCCACCCCACGGCCGTGGCCATGACTTGACAGGGCCTGGGGTCTAACTTCTGATCAATTCCACTGAATTGCCCTGACCTCTCTAGACAGTGTTCTATTCAAGCACAGCCCGCACATTTGCAAGAGAAAAACGCGGCAGATCATAATGAAAAAGAAAGAAAGAAAGAAAAAAAGCTAGGTACTCCTCTTTCAGGATTTTCTGCAGATAGTTCCTACCACCGAAAGAGGTCTTGCCTTCTGTTGGTTTGGGGCTCTTAAGCAAGAGCTTCGCTCCGATTCCAGAGGCATCTGAAATTGAATAGCTCCAAGTCCCCGATAACTAACCACGAAGGTCGCATCTCGGTTAAAGCTAAACTTGGGGTAACCCTATAAAGCAGTCTCTCACCTCCAAAATCCAAAAAGAGGAAGAAAGAAAAGGTAGTGGGGGAGGAGAATCTACCAGATGCAGTGAGCAATTTTACGTAAGTTTTCCACCAGAATCTAATCAGACGGTGGGTTCAATGCCAGGTAACTGAAACTTTGGGGCGAATTAAAGATAGCATGTTATTCAAAATGAGAATACAGAATTTAAAAAACGCAATACCTAATTTCACTTAGCACGGCATCTAAGAGAAGAACGTCCCTCCACCAATACCATAAATTTACCTACATTTTTTTTCCCTGTGCGAGTGTTTCCTGATATCTTTCTATGATTAGGGGTCAGCCCAAAGGATAATTAACAGTCCTGGCTCGGACAACTCACGAGTTCAACAGGTTTGGCATTGGAGACAGACAATCAATTAGCTGAAGCAAAGCCCCGGACTGGCCCTCGGAGCGGCCCTCGCCAGGTTCTTGTGGGTGCCCGACATTCACCGGCACTGCGGGCCTGGCGCAGCCGGGCGAGCTTGCAGCCTTCACGCCACCAAGATACTCACTTGATCTGTCTGCGCCAGGCAGTGTTGGTCCCAAATCCAGCCGGACGGAAATCGAGGAGCCAGGCAGAGGACAAGATCCAGTCACAGCAGAACGTGGCCACAGCACACAAACAGGCTTCTTTAGGCGTCTTCAAAAAAGAAGGGGAAAAAAATTTTTTTTGAGACCAGTCTTCTCTTAGTACATTTAAAACTGCCGCTCAGTTCCACACGGTGGGCGATTCTTCCTTGATTGCGTCTAAAATAGTTTGTGCCGCTCTTCTCTTCTGAGGGAGAGAAAAGGGCGCTAAAGACCAAGGAGGGGGAAAAAAAGCCAACTTTGCCCCCCACTCCAAGCACTTGCTCCCTGCGCCTCGGAGTGCAGAGTGAAGTGGTGTGTGAGGCTCGGCAAGTTTTTGGGGGGGCTGTCCAAGGTCTAGTCCAGCCCCCTCTGCCGAGGAGGACGTGCTCTGAAACTCAACCAATTTCCCCACTGCTTTTGTTACTGATGAACTGAAGCCCTATTGTTCATCCATTGCCACGGTCTTTCTCAGTCCCCACAGTACGTTCTGCGTTGCCAGAGATAATGAATTTGCACCCAAACCTCTCATAGTCCCCTCCTGACAGACGGAACAAATTAGAAATGTCTCGTCTGAAGAAGGGCAATAGCTACATTTTTCAATTGTAGGATGCAAAGCACACATTTCTTTGGAAACTTATTTTGCCTCTTCTACCTTTTATTTTCTTCTTTTTTCTCTTACCCCAGCTTTTCTACTCTAGGTTTGTTAAAAATATTTTTTTTTTTAAAAAAAAGAATCCCAGTCTTGTTTTTCCAGTGCTCCATTTTATTAACTTGTGGGCTTTTCTTCCTTCCTTCCTTCCTTCCTTCCTTCCTTCCTTCCTTCCTTCCTTTCTTCCTTTCCCCTTTTCTTTCCTTCCTTTAAGGGTTCCCTTTGCAATATTATTTACAAACTTGGAGAATGACCTTTTGACTTTTTTTTGTTAAAGAAAGGTCCTTTAGTTCAAGTCCCCTCCCCCTTCTGATTATTAATGTGTTTTGCTAAAGACACGGAATACATTATATGGATTTGTCTTCTCTAAACTACAGTTTTATTCAAAAGGTACCTAAGACACGCGTGTTAAAGGTTGAGAAGGAAGGAAAAGCTGGTGTGTGTGTGTTTGTGTGTGTGTGTGTGCCAGAGAGAGGCTAAGATGTGGGAGGAGGGGCTGAAGTGTGTAGAGGGGAAGGTGGGGACTTTCAGGGAAGGTGGGTATCCTGCAACCCCAGCAGGAGGCTGTCAGGGGTGCGGGCGCGGAGGGGGAGGGGGAGGCGGTGCAGGAATCTGTCCCGAGGAGGGCGGTCTGCTCCCTAGGGCCTATTTGCGCGCCCGGAGCAGGAGCAGCCTCCGCTGGCTACCCTGGAGCCCGGGGCTGGAGTTGGAGCCTGCTCGCGTGCGAGCCAGGCGGAGGAGGGGGTGGCGCTCGGTAAAAACTCGACGACCCTCAGTATGTAAATACGGCCCAGGGAGGAGAAGGAAAGCCGTCCTGAGAGCGGCGGGCGCGCAGCCCCCGGCTTTCCCGCCAAGTGCAGCCCGAGGCCAGCCAGCCAAGCCTGTCCTTGGCGGGAGGGTCCCCGCCCGCCGCGCGCGCCCCCGGCCTCCGTGCACACGCACGGCCACGCGCACGCGCGCACGCACGGACACCCGCGCACACTCCCCTCCCAGGCGTGCGGCCCAGTCGCCGCGAGCAGGTCAGGAAAACAAAGCTGGGACTGCGAGGTGGGAGCAGCCGCCGCCGCCTGGGGACGCGGACCCCTCGGCCTCTGGCGCCCCTTCCTAGCCGCCGGTGGTTTCGTGCCCCTAACTCTGCAACGGCCGAGAACCAACCCCTCGCGGTGGCAAGGGCAGGCGGGGGCGGCTCGGCTCTGGGAGGTGCCGGCGACCCCCGCCCGGTGCGCGGGCACAGGCGTGCGGGCGCGCGGGGACGGGGAGCCTGCAGGCCTCCCCGCTGAGTCTCCCAGCGCCGCTCCCCGCTCGCCGAGGCGGCTGAGCCCTTAGAAGAAAACACCAGGCCCCTAATCCGAGCCGCAGCCGAGGGGATGGCTACCACCTCAAGTCCCCTTCTGCAGACAATGCGATCGGAAAGGCCTAGCAGTTCAAGGGAAGCCGGTTCAGGTTTATCTCTTCAAAGGGGAAACTCGAGCCTCAGTCTTGGCCGGATATGTCCCCAGAGTTGGCCATGCAAAGACTGGTCGCAGTCTCAAGTCGCCTCCCTCTGTGCTGACCAGTCTAAGCACCCCTCCAACACACACACATACACACACATCACACACACACCACAGACACGCACACACACACATCACACACCACACACACACACACACACACACACACACGCATGTCACTCCTACTACAGTAAATTTTCCGCCCCTGGCACTGCTGCTAATGAAGCTGACACGCATAATTTGCTCATAGGTAAACAGGTACCAAAAAGAGAAGCCCTCGCCGTTTGGTTGGGCAATTTACCTGTCCCTACTGGGAACGTGTGTAGCATATCGTGTTTTAGGAATGCTTTGCTGGTGTCTGTTGTCTCCCTCTCCTCTTCTTGTGGAGACAAGAAAAAAAAAATGTCCCATTGTCAATCTTCTTACTGACAAGCGACCCAAGCGTTGTTCTAAAACGCTTGGGATTCGTTTATTTTGTTATCTGTTGTTTTCGGTTTGTTGTTTTAGATGTGTATTTGTTTCTTTTCTTTTCTATTTTCTTTCTTTCTCCCCCACCCCAGGGAGAGGGAAAAAAAAGAATCTGTATTTGGTGGGGCTGAAGGAGCAGAACCAGAGCCTGCGTACGTGGCGGGAAGGCTGGCTAGGCTGGCAACTGCCGCGGGGCAGAAACCAGGCAGCGGCAAGTCCTCCCCTGGGGCTGATAGGGGAGCCCTTGGCAGCTCAGGCTGGGGCTCGGCCACCGAAAATACAGCCACACACGCTTTCGGGCTCCACCGGCTGCCGCTCCGTGTTTTCCCCCATCCCGGCTTCACGTTCAAGGTTTAGCTGCGAGGTCACGTCCATTGACGTCAGCTCCCTGTCTCCCTCTACGTCCGGCTACATTTACATACATCAAGGAAATTAGGGCATTAAAAAAATATGCAAATCCTGCACGAAGAGGAGCCGGTGCATTCCTGGAGCGATCGCCTTTTATTGAAGCTTTTAATTAAAGGGGCCAGTTGGCTAGCCCCTGAAACAACCGCCAAAATTCCCCAAAAGAGAAAAATAAACGCTGTAGCCTTCGGAAACGGTTGTTTCGGCTCCTGTTCTGTGGGCGGCTGAGGACCGCGGGCTGCCCTGCTCCGAGAACAGGTTAGAAGAGGCAGCTCCAGCCCATGCATAATCAGGGCTCCGCGGCGCCTCCATTCTCCTCCTCCTCCTCCTCCTCCTCCTCCTCCTCCTCCTCCTCCTCCTCCTCCACCATCACCTTTCCTCATGCTCCTGCTCCAACTCCCCTTGGGTCCAGCGTGTATTATTTTTAATACTGATGCATATTTAAAGATATATTTGCATTTTTAAAAAAATTCCTTGAAATTTTCTGGTTCTACAATTTTGTTGATTCCCCTCCCCCTCGTTTTTTCTTCCTATTTTATTATGTCTATCTGTCTCTGTTGTCCGTTTTCTCTGTCTTCTTTTCTGTTTTCTTTTTGGCTAGTGTCTGCTGCTATCTCTGTCCACACAGTTGCCTCCCTTCTGTTTACTTAAGATTACAAATATGCATATGTGTTATGTATCCAATGCCAACTGGGGAACATCCTAGTTTGATCATAAAAGAAATACATTCCTTTTTGTCTTTCTTTACATACCCCTTCATTGACTATAATGCCTGCTGTTTTGAGGCTCAAAGTTTGATTGTCTGATTAACTTCATATTAGGAGAAACATAGGTTGGAGCCAATATATTTGAGAAAAGTATGTGTGAGTGAAGGGATTCCAAAGATTACTAAAGAATTGTGCTTATTAGCTGAGAGAATGCGATATTCACTACCTATTGCTTTCTGACGTTTCTTGAAAACAAAAATCTATTTTAAAATGTGTAGACACAGCAATGGATAGCCATCTGCAAGGAAGACATTTTCAACCATGTTGTATGTTGTATCATGTCTGCTGCATTTAAAATGTACTGTTTTATTTTATCCGTATATAGATGGAAGCACAGCATCTCTGTTGCACAGCATGCTTAATTCCACACTTTGAAGTGAAACCACACAGACAAAACAGCTGACTATATTAAAGCAGGCGATGTGCCTTAAAATATACAGGCCTTGACATGGATTTCAAGCAATAGTAATCTTGTTTATAGGATATGATTTTCCTTCTTGGCAATATAGCTATGCAGCACAAGGACTATTGAATATATGTATATTTAAATTACATATTAACATTCCCTAAAGCTATCATGTAAAAAGGACAATCCATAATTGCATAACCACAAAGAACAGAAAATGTGCACACATGCAGCTTTTTCAATTAAACAAGTCCGAGTACATGCACAGGTAATTAGGTTTCTTATGAATGACTTACCTGCACAGATACTCAAGGCAAGACTCAGCCCTCCCCAACGGCTTGTGTGTATAAATATTCACATCTCTTTCCTCCCATTTCAAACCTACAGCTGTATGCCATCTTTCCTGTTGGAGTCTCTAGCATCCATTTTCAGCACCCGTGATTCTTATGGCATTTTCCAACCTTACCTCTGGCTATAGTTTTTCCAAGCCTACACGAAAGTGCTCATATGATATGTCACCCAATAAAAAGTGGTCAGATGGCTATGCGTAAAACATTAAAAAATGGAAACACATCCACCCTCCAGGTTCACCCTTGCCTTGCCATATATAGCAAGATTATGTTTCTTGAGGTGAAATTTCAGCACATTTTATGAATAATTGCAGAATTCCTCAATTGGTTACAGAATTCCGGTTGGGGTGGGGGAACCTGGCCGAATGAATCAATTCAGCAGGCTGAATGTCTGAGTTTGGCTGCAATTCAATTGTGCGTGGCTGTTTATTCTTGCCTGGGCTCTGGCACGTACCTGCCCGCTTTTATAAAGGATCAGGACAAACACACTGGCCACGTTGTAGGGCGTAGAGTGTCGGTGCATGTATTCAGATGGAAGTAGCAAAGAATGTGGATCGTACTGCTGCAGGAGCATGCATGTTTGTACAAATGCATGTGCACGCGCGCTGTGTGGCAAGGGACAGAGAGAGGTACACCTCTTATCTCTGATCTCTCTGTAATCTTTTCTGTTTCTAATCTCCCTCATTGGAGTCACCCTCGCTGCGGTGTGCACACTATGGCTTACCCCGAGGGCCCTTGGCTTGGTGGCTTCCTGGCTCCTTGGGTGCTGCGGTGGAGGGTGGGTAGCGCCGCTGCCGCCGCTGCTGCGGGTCCCGGTGCTCTGTCCCAGCACAGCAGCAGAGCGCGCGGTGTCAGAGCCCCCTCCCTCCCGCCCTCAACCCCATCCTCTCCTCCCTTCCCCTCCCCTCTGTGCCTCCCTCCACCCCACCCCCCTTCCGCCCCGCATTACCATATGGAGGCCGAGTCCCTGCGAATCACAGCAGCAGCGGGCGGTATTTGAATAAGCCCCGCAACCCTAGGCGGACCCCAACTCCTCCACTAGCAGCGTGCTCTGCACCTAGGGCCACCACGCTGGTCTCTAACCTGGGAGCTACGGACAACTCCCTAAAGTCCCTAATGCGTGTAGGGGAGAGGGCCAGATTAAGGTGCGGGACTTCGCACTTGCTATTTTCATATTAACTTGACTGGTAGAATCAGACAATAAATTATACACGAAAGAGAGCGGCAGAGAGAGAGAGAGAGAGAGAGAGAGAGAGAGAGAGAGAGAGAGAGAGAGAGAGGCGAGAAGCAGAAGGGAGGGAAAGTGGGAGAGGCGCTATAGAGGGAGGAAGGAAGACAGAAGCAAGAAAGAGTGGAAAATGAAAGAGTTGTGTGAAACGGAAAACTAGACAGGATGAGACTCGAAAATATAAAAATATACGAATCTGAGCATTTCAAGCTAAAAATACTATCTCATCGAACTTCACAACCTCCAATTAAAAACGTGTGCGTCCTACCCCAACCCCAGACATGAATCTGCTCCCTTGATCAGAAAAAAAATTTTTAAACTGTGTAAAAGACATACGACTTTAAAGAAAGGAGCTGATTTTATGAAGCATAGCAAGGGACATGGCACTTAATAAAGATATTTACGAACTCTTGCTAAAAGTCAGCCTCTCTGTGAATACGCAGCCTCTTGCGCTGCGGGTCCTGAAATGAAAAGGCCTCAGTCTTGACACCAGAACAAAATTATTCCAACATACTGGGGACTTAGATGAGATTTTTCCCCCTATCTGCTAGTTTTATATTTGTTAGGGTTTTCCTCTCTACGAATGTTTACGTTTTACACAAAACCCCAGCACTATACGTCTTTTTTTTTTCAATCACATAGCAGTCTCTTCATTGAAGACATTATTTTAGAGTCAAATTACATGGAGAGCTAGTTCTATTTCCACACTACCTCTTGCATCTGCACAAGATTGTGAATTTAGAGTGATTCTTACCATCTTCCCTTGGCACCTTTTAACCAGAGAAGTTAGTTATCTATGCAAAAAAATCCTAATCTCAATAAAAATCTCCAGCCATCTATAGGATGTAACCATTGTAAATGTATCTCGTGGAATCTGCAAGCCAAATCCACCCATACACACACACACACACACACACACACACACACACACACAAAAAGAACGCCTCTGATTAATAATCGCTTACGCGGCAGATTGAGCCAAAGACAGGGGGCTGCAGAACGCCAGAGAAAGGGAAAGGATTTTCAAATTTTAGTACAGATTCCAAAGATGAGCTAACCCTATCCAATGGAGATTAGTACTTAGTAAGTAATGCTTTGGGGAGGACGGCGGGGAAGACGAGTGTAGTTCAAAATTTCCTTTCTTTTGGGCCAGAGCAAAGGGAGGCCAACGCAATCGCACCGACATTCTCCATACAGGCGTCTGGGTAAGACCATAGGTAACTCAAAGTCCAGGCCTAGCATCCTAGCATGCTCTCTCTCTCTCTCTCTCTCTCTCTCTCTCTCTCTCTCTCTCTCTCCTTCCCTCCCTCTCTCTTTCCTTATCTTTTGAGATTAGAGTATTAAAACTCTTTTTGTGCGCGGTTCCCGCGAAGCTAGAGTTTGAACCTCTTGTTTATTTTTATTTTCAACGTCGAAGTAAAATCGTGTCTGCATTCCTTAATTTAGGGTTTTATCAGGGTGCTCCCGATAGCCCCGGATGGCTCCCTAGGCTTGTGAGGAGAAAGGAGGGAGCAGGTGAAGCGGGCTTTCAGCTTATTCCATCAGGGCGGCCTTTGGGCCCCACCAAATTCGTCTCTCCTTTCTCTCTCTCCATAGGCCGACCAATGTTGCTGTGGTCGCGGTCAGGAAGACTAGGGCAGTGGTTCTAGAAGCAAAATGGGAGCTGCTGCATCCTCAGAGCTCAAAGGAGTCTAGGAAATCACCCGGGCCAGAAAACTGAGTGGTGCTAGGGGCCAACGTCGGGCTCCAGGCTCCTGCCTACAGGGAAACAGCGACACCTACTGGCCCCTTGAGCACCTAGCTTGAGTCGTCGGGGCGGCCCCTGGCCTGGGAGAACCGGCATTCTCTGGACTTGGGGGCTTCAGGGGCTTTATGTTAAAGACTCTCGGGACTCCTATAGCCATTGCGGTACAAAGAAAGAAAAAGCTATAGTTTCAAGATGGCCCTAGAGGGGCTGTAGAAAGGACCTGATAACACAGACAACACATACAACCTCCAGTTGAAGATCCTTTCTTTTGGAACCCTAGGGACCTGCAAATGCTGTTGACCACAGCCTGAGGGAGATACAAGCAAATGTCGAAATTCTAATTTATTTGCGCTTATATTACAGTCTTCTTCACCACCATACCTATTTCAGCGCCAAATAAAGACTGCATCTTTACAAGTGCCTGACACCATAGGCCTGTCACTTGGTTAAGGTCCTTCTGGATGGCATTTGCAGCCTTATTGTACTGCACTTCATCCAGAAATTGACAGCTTTTCTTTCTTTAAGAATTATAATAGTAATTCCTCAAGTTCAAAGAGGATGATGTTTTTGATAACTACACACACACACACACACACAAACACAAACACAGCACATATAGCAAAGTAGATATGTTAAAGAATATACACTTTATATATCTGAATGTAGTGTGTGTATTCTAGACTTCTTTTTATGAGTTTTCCCCATAAAGCCAAAAGGTCATTTCCTATGAGAAGTTGTGGTGCGGGTAGTCTGTGCACTGAGTGCAGAAGGGAGGGGACCCATCATCTCCAACCCCCAATTCTCTGTTCTTCCTTTTCATGTGCCAGGTTCTGAGCAGGCAGAGGCCCCTGAAACCTTACTGTATTCTGATACTAACCTGTTCAGATATTAGGGCGGATGCCTTCTTCATAGAACACGGGAGCATTTGAACTACCTGAAGTCTTTGAGGTTTCAATTTAAAATGTCACTTATTAACAAATCCCAGTTTTTAAAACAATAAATGCACCTGTTAGCCAAAGGTCGAGACTTCCTAGTGAATACTCTTAGCTGTAGAGTACAGGGTGGAACAGAGGTCTAATATATCTCACACATGTGGGGGAAAAGCTTTGCTATAGCCAAATTATTGTCTTCATTTTCAATCATTGCAAAAGTTTGCTAATTACATTTTTCTTTAAATATAAAGGAAGCTCTTATTTTCCCTAAAAGCAGAGTTATAGTTTACCATGTTCTTTTTTATTTAAAAAATCTCTCAAATGTTCAAGAAGCCTCAGCACATTTTTATAAATGCAGTTTTTCTTCTAATTTTTGTGAAAGTGGACAGGAGTATGTTCAGTAACATATGTACTCAAACCTTCCGATAGATGCTTAGCAATGTGTGTGCCATGTGAGTAAACTCACACCGCTAATACTCCTTCTCAATGAGCCTTATATCTTGCTGTGTATTAAAGTTCCTTCTTGAAAAATGAAAGCCTTCATAGGAAAGAAGGGGAGAGGAAGGACTGCAGAACAATTAGACCACACTGGGCATGCAAACACCAGTCAGCCAAACCCAGTTCACAGGGTTCTTTAGGTCTTGCAAGCACCTTGGAAATTGGCAGTGTTTCTTTTCCTTTCTCTGAGATTTTAGAATGTATCTTATTTGTGACCCCCAAATCATAGCTAGAATGAATTCTGGTTTCATTGTCTTTGGTATAACTCTAAATATTACTGAGCCCTGATGTGAACAATACAGAGTGGAACCTGTGTGCTTTAAAATGGTGGAACCCCTCTGCATTTGCATGTCCAGCAGTATCAACAAACTAGCATATTATACCCTGAGTAAAGGAAAGTTGCTTGATTTAGAACAGAAAATTAGGTCAGTGTAATAATTTATTTCATAAGAAACATGAAATGTTTGCAATAAAAGCAGATTGAGTGGTCATTGTGACTTTGTGAAGGGTGGAGACGGGGTCCTGGTGTGTTTTGGTCTCCCTTGGTATAGCTCTCTCTTTAGTGTAGAATTAGACAAATGAAAACAGACTAAACTACAAGACTTGGTCTGTGCTCTTTGTCATACCTGCCCAAGGTCTACTGTCTCCAGGGAAAGTGTGCTTATTCTATTCGCTGCTTGTGGAGAACATGAA